TCATCCCCTGCCTTTCCCTGTAGGACTCCTGTCCCCTCAGCTTCTGAGAGAGGGAAGGGGGTCACTGGGTGCAGCGGTGGGAAGCCATCTGCTCAGCATTCATCCCTCTGTGTGTGCATTCGAGTTTTGAGAGTTTAACGTGAGCATGACTCAAAGGAGAAGTCCTGCCAACCCCGAACAAGGATTTTGATCCCTTCCCTGCCAGATTCTGTCTGAGATCCTTCCTGCCAATGCCATGAAGAAAAATAACAAAGGGGGACAGCATAGGCAACATCTGAAATTACCCGTTAAAACGCATCCCCACATTTCTTTCAAGCTCTGGAGAACCAACAACCCAGACACTGAGCTCTGAAACGGTTTCACCCCTGTGCAGCACACATCATGCTACAATCTCATGTTCCCTTCTCTGAAATACATAAACCATATGTTCACCCTCAGCACAAAGGTGACTTTAATCCACGGCGCACACGTACAGGCACACAAAGCAGCTCACTGTTTTTGCGCACTATCTGGAGGGAGGTGTGCATGTGCCAAACACATCAATCCTCTGAGAAGCGAGTGTGCGCAGAAACACTCGGTGACACAGGCAGTTAACTATTTAGTGCACGCCGCTGCAAGTGTCTGTAGGACTGAAGGGCTCACACGTGCCCTGGTCTCCGAGTTTGTTCCACATCCCTTTGGCACCCCTTGTTGCAGGTGCACTGCTCAGGGTTTCATCCCAGTACAGGATGGACAGCGTTCTCCTTATTTAAGTATTAAAGCCTGCATCTCCTCTCTCTTCTGCTTTCCCACCCATCACCCAACTGCCCCAACCAGACGGGTGTCAAACATCCCCACTTGCAGTCCCACAGACCCGAGCTGATGCTCGGCCCCGTGTTGGCTTTCTCAATGAATCTGCGGCCCAGGCAGCACGCACCAAAAGGGTGTCAGGTCATTCTGCATCTGAGAGCTGGGGTACGACCTGATCTGGGCTTGTGCAGCCCAGAGGAACCCTGCCTCGTAGTAATTGCCATCTTTGGGCTATTTCAAGCCAATGCAACTGCTGCCCATCCCATATTATGCTGCAAAGTGAGTATGAATGATGACAGTTGATTACGTCAAGCTGTGCAGCGCTGTACGCGGGAGAGCGGCCTCAGCTGTGTCCCTTCCTGCCCCCTCTGCAAGATGAAATATTCCATTTTCATCCCTCTTAATTAAAGTGGGTAGCACAGTTACAAGGGGAAGCAAGAGGTTATGCTCAGCAAACAATGGTCCACTCAATTAAAAGAAAATGCTCCTAGGAAACCTGGAGCAGGAGAGTCAAGTGTTTTCATTTATCCTCTGCTGCCTTTTATCCAGACTTGATTCTGCTTCCACAAGACAAGTCACATCTCTCTCGCTCGCTCGCTCCTCTTTCTTGCTTACACCCACCCACCGCAGAGACCAAACCTTGCCCAGAGCATACGCCCTGATATAGTAAACCAGTCACCTGGCAAATGCTTCCTGAAATTGTCCCAGTAAGGCAGGAGCCTGTAGCAAATAACAAGTCTGACAGGTAGCTGACCATAGTTTAATAAGGTTTCTGTGCACAAAGAAGGAATTACTGAATATGCAAAGTTTTATGGTAAAAGCATTCCTATTCAAGAGTCACTTTTGAAGTGAGAGCTGTGTACTGCTTTCCCTCTTACCTGCGGGTGCTCAGTAACAACTTTGGGTTATTAGATGAGAAAGAATTTTTAACTTCTAAGCTGCTCTTCCCCAGTGTTGCAATTCTCTTGCGCAAGCTGGCAGGATTGCTTTTCAACCGCTTCTTCAGCCACGTATCAGGATCATCTTTCATTTAAACAAAATAATAGGTTTCTAGCCAGGTTGAACAAAAAAGCCAAGCTGAGCAGGCTCAAGAGACAAGAGGGAAATGGAAATCTCCTGTTATCAGTTTCCCCAAAATAACATGATTTTTAAGAGACCCCCCCCCCCCCGGCTCACAGTTCTCAGTCACTTGAATTGGCAACCCTGCTCTGTTATTTAGTCCATTTATTTACTTTCTGCACTCACTGAAAGTAGAAAACCCCAAGCTGGCTGGTTTCACATGTCATTTATAGGCAGATGTAAGTGGGGTGGAAGTGGTGTTTGGGTCTGTCACTAAGCTCTTCCAGAAGGATGAACTTCACCAATCTCCAACCAGCTCCTGCAGAAATCAGTGGCCAAGCCCTGCTGGGACCAGCTCGTGCTCACGCCACCCAGGTTTCTCCATAGCCCTTAGGTGCTGTCTCCACCACCCACACCACAGCTGCTGGGGACCTGGTGGCTCTTCCCTGGGAGCTGCTGGGGCAGCAAGGCTGAAGCTCATGGGCAAAGAGGCTGCCCACACCGATGCCTCCATCCCACGCAGTCCTGTGGAAGAGGGGGACACGCAAAGCACCAAAACCTGGAGGGGATCTGCCATGAACTGAGGGTCTGGCCAAAACAAAATGTGGGCACCCAGCTCCCCCAGGGTCTTTGGGAGCAATTTCCATGGCTTGTGTAATTTATTATGACTATTATCATGATCAGGATAACTTATTTGTCCTTCAAAGCACATTTTCTACATGTCAGGTGCTGGGCACAAAAGAGCACAAACCAGAAAATGATAGACAATCGAAAACCTGTTAAACCTCAAGTTTGAAGTCTGAGAGGAGGCTCTGGGGATGTCCTTTTACATCTGCATCGGAAGGAGCCACGTCCCCAACTCCCTAGCCAGGGCACAGAAGGTGCCGCGAGGCTTTGGAGAAGCCGTTTGTCATTCTGGGAGGCGGCAGGGACCACACAGCTTGACAGCATCCAGCGGCCTTGCCAAAACTCCCCACCCCAGCCCTTGTGGCAACAGCACCTTTCCTTGGACACAAGGTCACTGTAGCACCAACTGGAGCAAAGACCCAAAAAATGCATTAAAAAACAGGAAGAATATAGCAAGTGAACTTAGACCATCGCAAAGTAGAAAGCAGATACAAAAAATCATTGAATTTTGCTCCATTTCACACAACAGACTGTTCAATGGCAGATGTCAAGTGTATTTATGTCGTGGGAACATTTCCAGATACTTCCTGGGGTCTCTTGGCAGATGCCAAGTGTATTTATGTCGTGGTAACATTTCCAGATACTTCCTGGGGTCTCGGTAAGATCTCTGCGATTTGCCTGAGAGAAACTGTTGTTGCCAGGTTAGAAATGAGAGTTTTCGTATTTACAACTCATTTCCATCTTCCATAAACCAGCCCGTCCTGCCAGAGGAAGACACTCAAAGTCCTGCTCTGCCACAAACGTCCTTCGTTGCTTTTCACCCTCTGCCTCTGCTTGCTGCTGTACCACGGGAAAAGCAATCTTTGCTTTTACCCATTGGCTATGGGCTCTTTGCAGCAATGCAATAGGTTGGTGTATGTGTTACCAAACAGCCCTCCACCCTCGGACAACTGGTTTGGTATTTTTAAGGGAAAGCATTTCTTCTTTAAAAAAAATGGTATTACAATTGACTGAAACTAATAGCAAACGTGCATTAAATTAATTGGGTTGTTTAGCAACAAAATCAGGGAAAAAATGAAACATCAAAACACTTTTTCCTTGATATTTTCAAGTAAAAAATTTCTGACATTTCATTTAGAAATAAAGCTCTGTTTCAAAAGATAACCATATTTAATAATTAAAAAGGGGGAAACAAAAACAATCAAGCACTGCATTCTGAGACAAATGATATGTTTTCCTGACCCAAAAAAACTTAAAAAAAAATACATATTTACAGTTTTCTTGTGGGAAGCAAATTAATTTAAGACAAACTCAGAACAAATCTTATCTTGGGAAGAGGGTTATCCCATGAAATGAAAAGTCAGCTGCTTGCACAGCCCCCGTCTCCAACATTTGCTATAAGTGGGGTTGCTTCTGCTAGTAAAGTTTGGATAAGCTACAAATTGGTAGAAAGCAAATAATCAAGGCAGAGATGGACTCAGCTGACACAAACCCATATGAGAAGCCAACCAGAACCTCATCAAGCACCAGAGAAAGGGGAGATGGTGTTGGGACAGTGGCACAGGGGCCCAAATCACATTGTTCATGGGAGGAAGCAGCCGGCAAGAGAAGACCTTCAGTGCCAACGTTCATCGGATTGAAACTGCCTTTTTTTGGCTAGCTGCTGCTCCCGAGGCTGGAGCAGGAGCTAAATCCAGGGGGGGAAACCTCCTCCTGCTGCCTCCCCCCGTGCTGCTGGCAGAACCATTGCCTTTGTGGCAAATTAGGGATGGGGTCGAGGAGCTTGGGAGTGATTGATATCGCTTCCTGGAAGACCAGACTTCCAGGTCATCTTGCCTACCTTGGGGCTGGCAGTTCATTATTATGCTAACAGCATGGAAGCCCTGAATCTCACTCTTTCAAACTGTAATCCTTTATTACCCACTGTCAAAAATACCCTGGGCCAGTTTCAATTCCTCCCACCTGCTCCCCATTTCTAGCTCAGCCTGGAAAACACTGGGCAAAACCCAGCCTGAGGGGCAAGTCCATCCTTTTGTCTGTGCTGGGGCAAACCGGGTATTCCTGGTGGTGTCAGCACTGGGTGAGCTCTTTAGTTATACAGGGTGCTAGCTGATATCCAAAGCTATGATGTTTTTATGTGTATACAAAGTGCTCCCACCCCCCACCATCTAGGGATTTTATCCCCCCTTGGGCTCAGATAACTGATGAGGGTGCAGTGAATGGGGGGTCTCCTGAGGCCAATTAGCAGAGATTTGGGTAGCATCCAGACACTGCTGGGGGATCACTGAAAAGGCTCTGCCTTGAATTTACAGCCTGCTCTCCCCAATGCCTTGCTCGCTTACAAACAGGCACGCGCACAGCAGACGCAGGGGGACTTTGATCCAAAATAGAATCTGTTTATCCAGGCAGCAGGGTTCAGGCACCAGTGGTGGCAACTTGCACGCATGTTTGCATCCAAATGTATTTCAAGCGGTAAAAGCGGCCCCAGCATCACGGCTGGAATGCAAACGAAGCACCAAGGCCACCTTTCCGACAAAGACGGGGTGCTGCCGATGCCTGCTGCAATAACCTTGTCGCCTGGAAAGCCGTATGCCAGGGGTGTCACCAACTGCATCGCCTTGCTGGGATACATTTTGCATTTCTTTGCCTATGCAAACAAAAGCAGGAAGCAGTGAACATTAAAAAGCTCTCTCCCTGCTATGATGGCTCTGCAGCAGGTAGCAGGGCGAAGGGAGGTCTGCCAGGGACTTTGCTGGAGCTCCAGATCACTGCAAGGGCACAACAGTAGAGAGTAATTGGGTGTCTGCCCTCTCCTCTGGAAAGAGGGGGATGCTTTTACATGAAATCTGGTCAGTTCTAAAGAACAAGCTGGAAGTGCTGGAAGACTGCCTTTTTTGGAAGTAAAAGCTGATGATGCCCCATGTGCTGCCCAAAGCTTCCCTGGAAAACCAGATGATTCTTCCCCCCCCGCCCCCCCCCCAGTTTTTCCACTTGCAGTGATGCTCAGGTGCTTCTTGTAACTCCAGAGCATAAAGCATTTTTCTACAGAAGTATGATGTTTTAAAGGTGATGGTATGTTTTTATGAGGCCAGGAGGGAAACATTTCAGCCACGAATAAGAGTTTGCTGTCTAGACATATTTGACCAAAAAAGGGACACGTTTAACATAACCCTTACCACAACTTAGAGAGTATTGACTGCAACTTTTCAGAGATCCTTTGAAGCATCAAGCCCCAAAAGCCTTTCTGCCCACAGCAAACTTCAGCGCAGAGTATACAAACTTCAGGGACAACCCCAAAATCCTGCCCTCGCTCCAGACACTCCCCCCCCCATCCTGCTGGCCCAGCACAAATTAAGGGCTGGATACAAAGATTGAAGTTAACAGAAACACTCCCAACTTCAGCCAGCTTCAGACCCAGGCTGTGCATGGACAGTCAGACAGAAGGAATATCTGAGCTGCCATGCCATGACCAGGGAAGACAGAATCATAGAATCATTGAGGTTGGAAAAGACCTCTATGATCGAGTCCAACCGTCGACCCAACACCCCCATGCCCACTAAACCATGTCCCTAAGTGCCTCATCTACTCGTCTTTTAAATACTTCCAGGGATGGGGACTCAACCACTCCCCTGGGCAGCCTGTTCCAATGTTTCACCACTCTTTCAGTAAAGACATTTTTCCTCCCGTCCAATCTAAACCCCCCCTGGCGCAACTTGAGGCCATTTCCTCTCGTCCTATCGCTTGTTACTTGGGAGAAGAGACCGACCCCCACCTCACTACAACCTCCTTGCAGGGAGTTGTAGAGAGCGATGAGGTCTCCCCTCAGCCTCCTTTTCTCCAGGCTAAACAACCCCAGTTACCTCAGCCGCTCCTCATCAGACTTGTTCTCCAGACCCCTCACCAGCCTCGTTGCCCTTCTCTGGACACGCTCCAGCACCTCAACGTCCTTCTTGTAGTGAGGGGCCCAAAACTGAACACAGTATTCGAGGTGCGGCCTCACCAGTGCCGAGTACAGGGGCACGATCACTTCCCTACTCCTGCTGGCCACACTATTTCTGATACAGGCCAGGATGCCATTGGCCTTCTTGGCTGCCTGGGCACACTGCCGGCTCATGTTCAACCAGCTGTCAACCAGCACCCCCAGGTCCTTTTCCGACAGGCAGCTTTCCAGCCCCTCTTCCCCAAGCCTGTAGCGCTGCATGGGGTTGTTGTGACCCAGGTGCAGGACCCGGCACTTGTCCTTGTTGAACCTCATACAGTTGGCCTGGGCCCATCGATCCAGCCTGTCCAGGTCCCTCTGCAGAGCCTTCCTACCCTCGAGCAGATCAACGCTCCCGCCCAACTTGGTGTCGTCTGCAAACTGACTGAGGGTGCACTTGATCCCCTCATCCAGATCATCGATAAAGATATTGAACAAGACCGGCCCCAAAACTGAGCCCTGGGGAACACCGCTCGTGACCGGCCACCAACTGGACTGAACTCCATTCACCACAACTCTCTGGGCCCGGCCGTCCAGCCAGTTTTTGACCGAGCGCAGAGTCCACCTGTCTAAGCCGTGAGCCGCCAGCTTCTCTAGGAGAATGCTGTGGGAGATGGTGTCAAAGGACAGCACTTTCCAGGGAGCAGGCAAAGAGTGACAGTTTACTTGCAGCAATCGCATCAGCCTAAAGTGTAATCTGTTGTGCAAGAAACCTATTGGAAACATCCACTTTGGCTGTTCAAAGGCATCCCTGCTGCTGTACACCTTGTCCTTTTGATTTATGCTTGCATGGGTTTCATATGATGTGGCAGTACTTTATCAGCTGGAAGACCCTGCACAGATAAATAGCTCAGCCCTACAGAAGTAAACATGTCAACCGGTGACAAGCATTTCTTTCATTAAGGACAAAGCAACTGATGTGGTTCCAATTGTCCTGCTCTGGGTGGAGGAGGCACTAAGCCCATTATCAGTCCTCTGCAAGAAACTGGATCACCGGCCTGAACGTGGGCGCAGGTAACACAGGAGCTGTCAGCTGGCAGGCAGGCACACCGGGAGCAGGGGTTTAAAGCTGCCAGACAGGTCTGAGGTTTCCTTGTTGTATCCATCTAACCTGGTCACAGACACAGGACACGGCTGCTTATTGCAGAGGTCCTGACGTGCAGTTACGCTTCAGTTGTCTTTACACTGACCCCATGTTTCAACCGCAGAAGCCATCCCTCTGAGGGTGGGAAGACTTCTCTGAAAATTAACAGAAATTTGGAGTTAAACACCACCTCTAAAGAAATGTCCATGTCAGTGTCAGTCACATTTAACAGCAAAACACCACAAACTTCAGCTCCAAGATACTGAGACTGCTGCAACCATGTGCACGGAGTACCCCTGAAGACACGAAATTGTGACGTGCTGAACTACACTGTGCATTTGCTGATCTTTTTTCCTTACATGCACCATAGGCAGGGCCATGTCGCCCCACAGACCGCTCTTGGTGACCCCACAATGATTGAGCGTTCACGTTTTGGTGGGTCAGTGGTAGGAATCAGACCCAACTCGGGGCACCCATCCCACATCGAGCAGCTCTTTGCCCCCTGCTTCGCTCTGCGGCACAGCCAGGCACTGCTTGCCTGCGGCCAGGAGGCTGGGGCAGAAACGGGCTGCCCAGTCATCCTGGTATTGATACAATGAGCACTTTATGCAAGGGCAAAAAAAAAAAATTTTCTGTACCCTGACCAGAAATCTACCCCAAATCCTCCATTGCTGGCCAATCCAACACAAAACACATTGTTAACCTAGTCAAGAAGCATTCAGAAATACATTAATCTGCATTGCCTGATAAGGACTGGAAATGTCCCTGTCCCCAAACCTTGGCTGGGCTCCCCGTGCCATAGGCCCCTTTGCTCTGCCCGACCCAGCAGCGCAGCACAGGGCTCTTGGGGTTCGCCATCGGGACCGGGGCAGCTGGGGCCTCAGGCCACCGCGGCACTGGAACACGAAACTACTCATCCCAGGGAGCAAACGATAAAAAAAATACCGGTCTGGCATGAGAGAGACTGCTGCGCTTGGAGAAAACTAAAATACATTTTCACTGTTCAAAACAAACTTTGTATTTTAGATATTATGGAAAATTTTCAGCAGAAGAAGTTTAGATATTAGAATTTTCCATCTCTTGGAAACCTACTTTTTTCTTCAGCTTTCCTGTAAAAGAGTTAAAGCGCAGAGTTACTGAGTCTCTGAGCTTGCTTTCTCCAGCTACCAGCAATTTTCCCCACACAGCTCCTTCTCCCTTCCCTTCCCATCCAGACCAGCTCAGGCTCCCTGGGAACAAGGCATGCCAATCAGAACAGCAGAAAATGCAATTTCTGATGACTAAAGGATGGAGACATCAGATCAAGTACATGCGAGAGAAACTGAACGAAACGTTAAATTTTAGAACAAAATAAAAGCGTATGTTCCATTTATTTCTGTTGCCAAAATCTACAGATATTTCCTTCCTTGCTAACCCTTCTCACGGATAATTAAAGGAGTGGTTTTTGCTTCCTTCTGAAGGTTACACAGCTCACGCTAGATGAACGGAAAGGGTGACTGTGTACTGTGTCTTTGAACTTCTGCTGTTGGTTATGCCTGGTTAGGAATAATTACACTTCTGTAATGGTTATTACTCACAAGTTCCTGACCCACTCCCCCAGCTGCAGCTCCACCTTCCTGGGTTTTCTTGTCTGGGAATTGCTCTGCAGATGGGTTTATAACCTTGACAGACTATCTCCACTGCAGAATCGTCCCCGTGCTAGCGTTACTTCTACCAAACTTAACATAAATGCTATCAGAAAGGCAGAGAATAAAGCAAGCGTTGCTGTGAGGTGTGAAGGTGCCAAACCTTTCCTCCTGTCTTAACAGCAGCAGTTTCATGGCCCCAAAATAAGCAGAAGTCCTCTCCAGGATGGGGATGCTTGGGTGGCTCTTAAAGCAGAGGACACGCAGAGCTGGGGCAGAGCAATAACCAGGTCTCTGTGCTATTATTACAGGACCAGGTTAAGAGATGAGGTGATGCAATCACTAGGCTTTCATTAAGTGTCTTCAAAACAGCGATAACCCAGTCTGGGTTATTGAGAGATGCACTAAAAAGGGGACAGTAAGTCCTGGACAATGATGCAGCAGAGCAGCCCAGCAAGACAAATAATTTTAGGCATCAGAAGGACAGGTGAAAACACCTCCAGGATGGCTGAAAAAAAGCTTGTTTGGCTCAGTTACTGCTCCCCATAACAGAACTCCTAGCTGGCTCAAGCTGCTGGAAGTCGTTCACCCTGGCTCCTTCAGCATCCCTCCAGCCCCTGGGATACAAGAGATTTGAGCTTCTACACACTGATTAAATAGGCATCATTAACATTTGTCATTGGTACGCTTCAGATCACGGTATTAGAGACCACACATGGAGCAGAGACAACAGTCCAAATACTAACCTAATGGAGAATTAAGGAGAACTATGGGTTACTCCAATAGCACAAAACTAGACAAAAAAAGTCAGAGAATAGATTTCTATCCAAAATCGTAGTGGGACCTAACTCCAGAGGTCTGTAGAATGTTTCAGCTGCAACATTTTCACTTGAAAAAAATCTGAAGGAATTATTTTGCTTTTCATCAAGATGCCAAAATTAGTGGCGAGACTGAAATGACTGCTTCTCTTCCCACTCAAGGCAGCAGTAAAAGTGCCATTGCCTGAAGGGTGGCAGCATCCCGAAGGGCCTCCTTGGCCCAGCACACCCATTACAGCCGCTTTATCAGGGAGCAGCTAAGGTCTGTGCTAACACTAACGACCCCCTTGGAAGCTGCCAGCTTGGGAAAGGAGTGACACCATCACTTTGGGACAAAGCCAAGCAGAGAAACGTGTCCTGGGCAGGATTACGGAGCAAAGTGGATGTCCCAGGAGCTCCCGGCAGGCGGCTGGGGCTCCCAGTCCCCCCGGCGGGGTCTGCCTTGCCAGAAGGAGCATGCGAGCCCCAATGTGGCTCCTGCAGCCCCAGCCCCGGGCGCTGGCACTAATGAAGCTGCCTGGCCCTCTTTCCCTTTCTCTTTTATTTTCCCAGGTTGGAGCACCCCATCCCACCAGAATGCACTTGAAAGAACAAGATACTTCCTTTGTACCGGGAAACAAATGATGATTAATGTGTTAGTTGTAATTAATCTGCAATGACAGATTAGCAGAGCAGTGGCAGTGTCTTTTGCTGCTGCAGGAGCCAGTGCTGATAGGACAGCTGGTGAGAGGGGACACCAAATTCAATTTGCTCCTCATTTGCATACATATGACAACCATCTGTGCTAATAGCACTGCAATGTCTCTATTAGGCTCTCTTCTAGTGTGCCAGCTCACCTAGACTCCAATTAGGCCTTTAAGCAAGAAAGCTTAAAGCATAAATATTTGCAGAGGGGAAAGGGTGGCTCAGCAAGCCGCTGTGTACTGCCTTTCCCTTCCTGCTGAAGGCTGAATCCTCTCCAACACCTGAGCTAAGATGCTCTGCTGCCATTTAGCACCTGGTAATGAGATGCTGAGCACAACCACCAGACTAACTCCACCAGCCCCAGCCCCACATTATCCAAAAATGCCTCAAGCCATGCAAGAAAAATCCAAAAGAGCTGCAGAGGCTGAATGAAAACTAGGCTTGCAACAGGGAAGAAGCCTTGACCAGCAAGGGTGCATGTCTGCCCTATCTTTTCACCCAAATTTGGGAGCTTTCGGGCTTGTAAGCACAAGAGTGCTACCCCCAGGGGGGAAAGAAGCAAGGTTGTTTGCAGCCATGGTGAAGAGGTGAGGTATGGGAGGCCACTCCTGCAAAGGTTGTCCCCTGCCCAGGTTTCATCTGACACCACACTTACCAGCTGCTATCGGAGCAACTGCACATGCGGCACGAGCGGCTGGAGCTATGAGTGTGCCACGGGCATTTGTTCCCAGTGTCCGTTTATTTTTGTACATGCATTTCAAAAATAGCAGTCCCAGGCTCCCCTGAAAGCTAATTAGGGAACCAGTTAATTAATGAGCTGGCTCACCTACCCAGTTCTTCCTGTTCTTCCCATGAAGGTGATTTCTGCAATCTTGAGTTTGTTTCTTGTTTTCCAGCCCTAATACCTCAACCCCTCCAGAGCATTCAATGAACTGAGAGCACAAGGAGGGACCAGGCAGGAGAAAGGACTGGGCAGAAGAAAGGACACTACAGGAGCTCACTGTAACTACGACCAGGGATGCAGTACTGCCTGCAGCCAACCCAGAGCTGGGCTACTGCTCCAGGCACCGTGTAGGTCCCTTCAATATGACCAACAGGAAACCAGCCATGGAGCATGAATTAGCAGCCACTTCTGCAGCTATCCAAATTGGTACCTTCATATGGTTCAGTGCTGCAAGGAGAGATTTTTCTGCAACCTGACCAGGAATCGAGCCCAAATCCTCCATCCCAAGCCAGTTCACAGCATGGCACTGGGTTAGTGCCATGACCAGACTGCTCCTGGTCCCAGCACAGGTTCACGAAGCATCACCTAAAGCATCTACGGGTCAGCTCAGAAACTGTCACCCACACTCAGACTGGACTGTCTCTGTGCTGTTCTCCCCCATTGCTGTTTCTCATCTCTGCAGCACAACCTTTGCAAGACATTTTCACTGCCAGATACAAGAAAAACCAACAGGCTCCCCATCCAGGTACTGCTGCTTGATCGGGGGATGTATCCATCACAGGGCATTAGATGGGCAGTTACTTTTCTTGCCCAGGGGGCACATTAGGCATCTGCCCAGCATTATCTTTTGCATTAAATCATTCTCACTCAGGGTTGGTTGGTTGGGGATGTATCCATCACAGGGCATTAGATGGGCAGTTACTTTTCTTGCCCAGGGGGCACATTAGGCATCTGCCCAGCATTATCTTTTGCACTAAATCATTCTCACTCAGGGTTTGGTTGGTTGGGGTTTTTTTTACTGATGGGAAAACACATTTCCCTTATAAATTTGAATGGGTTTAAGGTTAAAGGGCAATCCATTAATCTACCCCCACTTCCACCGGACCCCCCCAAGGCTGTGCAGGTCATTTGGAGTGTGCCTCTGCTCCCTCTCCTGCCTCAGGATGCCAGACTGAGATGGGGACCTGCATGCAGCCCTCAGCTGGAACAGCACATCTCTGCCTGGACACTGCCAAACCATTCTGGCAGCTCATAGCTGAAAAGTTAATCTGTGCACACAGCCCTGGGTGAGAACGTGAAGGGCTTTGTAGGACTAGCTGGGCTTAATTAACCTAATGCAGTGCAATCTAGAGAATCTCATTTTACATGTGAATCTGCAGTTTAAAACTGGCTGGACTGTTATTTACTTCTGATATCCAGCAGGGACATAGGGACCATCCCCTGCTTGCACATACACATCCATCTCTACAGGAATGGCTGGAAGCTTTAACAAGAGCCTTTTGGCAAAACTCTTCTGCTCATGGAATTGCTTGTTGAAGATAGCTGCAAGCAGTGCCAAGCAATTCACCGATGGTGAAACACCAGGAGCAGTGGGAAGCTGAGATGGGGCAGGGGTGCAGGCTGGCCTTTGCTAGCCAGTGCTGTGCCCTAAATATCACCCTTTAGCCCTGCACAGGGCTCACCGAGCCCAGGAGAGCTGTGCTACCCGAAGCCACTGAGCTAGAGCCCACCAGTTCTGGAGGCAGGACGAGGAGGCATTCATGCTTACCACTACTGGGAGCTGAGATCCTCAAACATATTTAATTCTGATAGCAATTAGGCATTGAAAGACCTCCTCCCTGTACATAAGTGGTTTGTCTCCCAGGCAGCTTCGGCAGTGCAGAGGCTCTGTACAGAACCTCTCCCTCCAGTGATCTGTGGCTTTTATCACCGGCAGGGCTTGAACCTGCAAAACTGAGCATCAAAACAGCTGCCAGCCGAGCTAACAGGACTGCTCCAGCTCACACG